CTCGATCCCGCTCCGCCCCCCGGCCGCCGCTGCCTGCAAAGTCCCGGCCACTTTTACGCGCCAAATCCTTTTTGCCGCGAAAGAGCCACGAGCCGCCGAGCGCTCTCACCATTGGCTGTCCGTACTGTGACGTAGGCGACGGCGACGGGGTCCATTGGCTGCAGCGCGCCGGACCGGCGGCGGTGGGCGGGACGGGGCGTCGGCGCGAGGAGGCACGGCCAATCGCGCGACCGGGCGCGCGCAGGCTTTGTCGGGGCGGTGCCAGGAGCTTTCGCACTCCCCGCCCCCAGTCGGGACTGTCCCTACCCGAGGCGTGGTGGCCCCGTTCCCACCCCATGCACTGCATCCTGCTGATCCCTCTATGGAGACCTTTAGGACAGAGCGTCCGTTCTGCACTTCACACCATACGCAGACCTCACGTGACCCCTAGACTCCGCCACCTGTAGCCCCCCAACAACCTCAGTTCGGATCACTAGAAACTGCCCTTCCTCTACTAGGTTCAGCCCCACCTCCAAAGCCCCAGCCGCCGCTCCCATCCTCAACTTGCCCCACCTATACCATTTACTTTCAAATCCTGCACCTGCCTTGTCCCTCTCACCCTGAGCCTGAGCAGAAGGGGGCTGCTAGAAAATGGGGAGGGACATCTGGCCCAATGCAGCTTGGGGCTTTCCTGTAAGCCCCCTTTTAGCTGGAATCTCTTCAATAGCCAATGCACAGCTTCTGCTTGAACTCATTCATTCACCCACTTATTCAGCAGACGTTTTGAGAGCCTGCTCTGTGCCCCATTCTTAGTTCAGACCTTGAAGAGCTCAGTCTAGTGAAAAGAGAAGGAGAGGAACAGAGGTAACAAATGTTTGGAATATGATGAGGAATTTCCACCATTAACTCCATGTTAGAACTCGCAAAGGGAGGAGGTGAGGGTGCTGAGCATGAAAATGCATTTAATCCGGAGGCCCTGGGACATCTCCATCAGCCATTTCCCATTGCTCAGGTCAGCTGATTTGACCAATATTGTCCTCTCCTCTGTGCCAGGCCTTGTGCCAGCTCTGAGGGCAGAGATGTGAGACTTAATCATTTCTATGAACTTGCCTGCCATCTGGTGGGGATGACCCACAGGAAAAAAAAAAGGGAGCTAATACACAAACAAGGATCAAATCCCTAGGCCCAGAATAAACATGACTTCCTCCAGAGAGCCCTCCAGAGTCGTAATTACTCACTTCCTCCATTGCCCAATGCTGCCTCTGTTCCAACACTGACCACACATTCAGTTTCTCCATCTGCCTCTCCTACCAGACTGGGAGCTCCAACAGGGCCTCCTCCCAACACTGGTCTGGTCCAGAACAGGTGCTGAGAAAGGTTAGGAAAGGAACAGGCTGGTGGCCTGAGGCTACACAGAACACAGCAAGGAGGCCCTGGCTCTCCAAAAGGAGTACTCAGCCCCTGGTTTCAGAATCACCTGGGCACTTGTTAACTTTGGGCCCACCCCAGCCTTGCCAATCTAGAATCTCTAAGCGCTCAGGAATCTGTATTTTCACCAACAATCCCCTACCCACCCCACCCCATCCCATCATGCCAGGTGATTTTTATGCAGGTTCACATTTGAGAACAAATAGTATACTGGTATAACCAAAATGTGTGGTGCAGCCTTGAATTATAGCCCCTTGAGGACAATTCTCAGCTCCAGTTTCCTCATCTGTAAAGTGGGCACATTTCCGTGGCCTCTTCCTGGGTCGCCATCAGGATAAAAAACATAAGGGATCTGCTGTAAGTGTTCTATAAACTATGAGGTGGTTTAGGAAAGCAGCAGGAGTTTCCAAAGCCATTTTTGAAATTACTCATTGTAGGGGACGCCTGGGTGGCTCAGTTGGTTAAGCATCTGACTCTTGGTTTCGGTTCAGGTCATGATCTCAGGGTAGTGAGATCCAGCCCTGTGTCGGGCTCTGCGCTGGGCACGGAGCCTGCTTAGAATTCTCTCTCCCTCTCCCTCTGCCCGTCCCCATCCTGTGTGCGGGTGTGTGCGCGCTTTCTCTCTCTGAAGGAAAGAAGGAAGGAAGGAAGGCAGGAAGGAAGGAAGGAAGAAAGAAAGAAAGAAATTGCTTGTTGTAAATCCTAGACTCAGCCCTAGAAGGGCCCATAGAGACCGTGTAAGCCTCTTGCTGTAGAGATGGGAAAATTGAGGCCCATTCAGAAGTAGGGACTGTGAGGTCAGCCAGTGATAGAATCTGGCCTACACTGGATTCCCAGCCACGGGATCAGCCTGTCCCCCTTCTCCCCTGATAGAGAAGCCACCATTATTAGAATGGTAGGTCTCATTTGAAATAACCAAGCCAGACTCTGACAGAGAGTAAGAGAAGCCAGCAACATTCCCATTCCAGATGGAGTTTCTTTTCTCCATATCTCCCCAAAGAGTCTCAATAACGGTAACATTTGTTTTGTAAAGTACTCTCATATGACCCAACAGTCATTCGACAAACAGTTATTGAGCACCTGTCTTCTGCCAAGCACTGCACTGGTAGCTGGAGAAGGAAGACAGATATTGCTATTATTGCCCAATTTCATGATGAGGAAGCTGAGGCCCAAAGGGCATGAGCTTACCTAGCAGATGAAAATGCTTGATGGAGGTCAAAGCTAGGGGTTTACCAAAGCCCTGACCTCCCCAAAGTATTCAAGTACCCAACCTCCCAGGTAGAAGCAGGTGCCCTTCTCCCCACAATCCCTCCTGTCCTGCTGCAGCAGAAAGGAGTGAAGACAAGAATTCCCAGTGTGAAATCAAGAAAGAGATAAGGGCCTTCTGTATCTATTAATACCCACTTGAAAGCAGCAAAGGTTTGAAAGATGGGGCCCCTTGGCCTCAAGCCTGGGAGATACTGATAAGGCTGTTCTCTACATCAACAGTTCTCTTCAGGCTGGTAGGTTTCCAAAAGCTCCACAGTTACTGGGCAGCCACTTCCAATGATGATCTCCTTTGAACCAACAATCCCTTAAGTGAAGCTTGTTTATCCACATGGTGCAGGAAGGAGGCTCAGAGAGGGGCACTCCCAGCTTAAGGTCAGAGAGCAGAAATGAGATGGGAACTTGGCCTGTTCCACTGCCAAACCCTAGTGCCTGCCCTTCATACCTCATCACTTCCTGTAAATACCCCAAGAGCCAGGCTCAGGGCTGTCAAGACTATAATGTGTGGTTTCCAAAAGATATTAGGATAGATAGTGGTTTAATTAGGAGGTGCTCACCCCCATGACCACCTCCACCAACATCTACTTCTAGAGGAGTCCAAAGGGGTGGAAGCTCCTGGACCCAACATCATCCTCAATGTGGAGATATCTTTCCCTTGAGTTTTTCCAGGAGGCAGGATTGTGGAGAAGTGATAGGAAGAGCTTCTGGGGCGCCTGGGTGGCTCAGTCGTTAAGCGTCTGCCTTCGGCTCAGGTCATGATCCCAGGGTCCTGGGATCAAGCCCCGCATCGGGCTCCCTGCTTGGCAGGAAGCCTGCTTCTCCCTCTCCCACTCCCCTTGCTTGTGTTCCCTCTCTCGCTGTGTCTCTGTCTGTCAAATAAATAAATAAAATCTTAAAAAAAAAAAAAAGGAAGAGCTTCTGAATCAGGTGGATATAAATGGGAACCGTGGTCTGTGTGACCTTGGACAAGTCAATTCATTTCTTGAACCTCATTCAATCCACAGACATTTATTGAGCAATTGTGTCAGACATTGCGCTAGGTGCTGGGGAGACAGCTGGACACAAAACAGACCTCATTTCTGATACCTGGAGCTCATAGTCCAGGGGGAGAGGCAGAATTATTTACATGAACCTGCACCACTGCACCAAATGCTCATTAAGAAGTTTGACAAACAACACAAATAATTCAAGCCTATTTATTCCACATACACCACCTCGCCAAAGCATACATTCTTACGTTTAAAAAAAAATTTTTTTTTTTTTTTTAGGGATGCCTGGGTGGCTCAGTTGGTTAAGCATCTGCCTTCGGCTCAGGTCATGATCCCAGGGTCCCGGGATCGAGTCCCGCATCGGGCTCCCTGCTCCGTGGGGAGCCTGCTTCTCCCTCTGCCTCTGTCTCTCTCTCTGTCTCTCATGAATAAATAAATAAAATCTTAAAAAAAAAAAATTTTTTTTTCAAAAATAAATATCCAAACAAGAACATCCCATCATCATAAGGACTGCATCATTGGGAGAAATGATTCTGTGGTGACTTAATTTTATTAAGGGGCAACAGAGACATCCATTGTTGAGTTCTGGCAGAGGGAGGCGGGGAGTTTTATGTCTGCAACATCCCATTGGTCTCGAATGATCCCTCAATTGCTACACTGAATTCTCTGACGCTTTGCTGTCCCTGGAGATGTTCTGTCACAGTACCAGTTCTGGCTGTGTCTGAACACAGGGTTCTTACCCATCTGAGAGGCCATCAAACATAAGGAGCAAGGCTTAGGAGTCAGGCAGACCCCAACTATGTGGCTTGGCTAGATGACCTTGAGTAGGTGACTCACGCTCTTGAAGAGCTTGGCTTGCCCAGTCTGTAAACAAGGGGCAAGGGCTCCCTTATAGGATGTGTGTCAGGGTTAAATGAGAAAACAAGCAGATTTGGCAAACTGTCCCCCAGGTATGATTCCATTTGCCCATGGAGTATTTTGTTTTTCTGAATTGTGAATTAGTTTAAAAGTTTCTTAAATTGGGAAATGCTATATAAAAATTCAAATATCCGGCTTTCCTTTAAAACAGTAATATCTGGGGGGCGCCTGGGTGGCTCAGTTGGTTAAGCGACTGCCTTCGGCTCAGGTCATGATCC